AAAATCAGATCATGCACACACAATTATATTTTTTTCTGAGTGATGGGATTATAATTCTGTGGTTCTTCCAAAATTTAACTTTTTAAACCCAAAAACACGATCGTTTATACAATGGCAGTTTTAAAATATTGACTTGATTGCACTCTAGAAATCTTAGGAAATTGTGAATGAAGTTATCATTTGGTTTCTATTCTTTAGAACTGTAAATTACATTCACAAATACAAATGCTTTTTTATAAAAAACTATATATTATCTATATCGTCTATCTATCATTACAAAGGACTTTCTTATAGGGTAGGAAAATGACAAAGAAGTGAAAAACTGCCTGTTCCAATGCTGCCTTTTGACGATTTGAACAGAAATAAACTGTACAACCAAGAATGTCATCTTGGAAGCTTAAAAAAAGGACACTATCTTCAATCCATGTGCCATTTTGGATGGTCCACTATTTGAGCTAACTCTGCAACATCCTGGTACATCCAGCACACAGTAAGGTTCAGTGAATATTTGCTGGATGCATGCATGAGAGAACACATCAATCAATTCTCTCATTTAATGCAAGACAATAGACTACATGAAAGAAGTCATTCTCTTTCAGCAAGATTCTTAATTTTCTACTAACTTCAACAAGCAGCTATGCTTCCCAGTGATGAAGTTATCACAGTCTTCCAGTTCCCCATGTCCAGCTCTTGAAAGCTCCCTTGAAATTGGAAGCTTGAGGTGCCCTCACATGGCACCTGACGCTCACCTCTCCCACCTGCCCTTCTCTTTCCCAGGGACAGAGCACTCCTACCCTTCCTCCACCTTGCTGCATCTTCCTGCTACCACCATATTTGTCCTTCTCTTTTTAGCAGAGATAGCAGGGCTAATTTCCCCATATTCCATCTTGAAACTTGACTGCATTTTGGCATTATACCAGGAGCATCCTAAAGCTAAGTAGTTACATGTGAGTTGGCATTCTACACCATGGCTCATTTGCTATGCGTTCCTATACTCTCACCTGTCACAAAGGAAAGAACTCAAGTTATTTAGTTTCTTCTAATCCCTATTGATACTTTGGCTATAATTTGAAGTTTTAGTCACCAATGAATAAGTGTTAAAGAGAGCGAAATTCTATGACAGTACATTTTGGCAATTCCAAACACTGATTTCATGTAACTTAATCCATTTCAAAAAGTAAACAAAAGCTTTTGACTTTCTTAGTACCCACCAGGGTGTCCTGGACACCAACTTCTTCAGTTACTACCTTTTGGAATTAATTTCCCATTTACCAAGTGAATACTTAGTTTCTTTGGGAAGATACATTAAAACTTAAGTGATGTCCAATTTCCTGCTTTTCCATATGAACAGCAGTCCCCCAAATCTAACAGCTTCTGAAGATGCACCCGGTGTCTTTGGGTTCTAGGAAAATATCTCATTCACCTTTGAGTGAGTATGGGGGCTCCACATTGCCATGTGATGAAAATGAATATGACAAGACCAAAGCTAAAGTTTATTCTTCCCATCAGACTGAAAAAAAAAATCACCTAATTAAAAATTTTAGGAGGTAGGATTAAGAGTCCAAAGGTTTACTGCATTTTTTAACCTGTAAATCTCTTAAGATGAACTGTCATTTCCAAGGATAGCAGATAGACTGGGACAAATTACAAGTTACATTCCAAAGCATGTGTGCTTATCTCATAAAATCCAAGTGAAAAATGGCATTAAGCATTGTCCAAAGACACTGAAGCAGCCCTGGAATTTTCTAAAGCACCTGGGTTTTCTCAGGGAATTTCAAGTAGACACTAAGCAAAGTAAAAGTGAAATCTTAGTAGGGACATTGACAGACCATGCCAGAAGGCTTTTTTTTTTGGGGGGGGGGCACAAAACAAAACCTGAGGTACATGTACTAAGTCTATATGGTTTCTTGGACTCTTCCATATTAAAAGTGCTCTGTGCTAATTCACAGTCACAGTGATGGCTTTAAGACAGTCTTTCAGATCTCATGTAAATTGTTTTGTCATTTCCAACTAGCTCAAATAATGCTATATTTTTAAAAAAACTAAATTACAATGCAAAGTCTTCAGCTTAGAATATTATCTGTATATTTTAGTTTGTCCAATATCATAACAAGACCTGCAAACTCACAAATATGAAACAAAAATATTGCCAACTGTGATAGTGCGATTCTAAGACGGCCCTTGGAGACATGACATAACTCCCTGGACAAGTGTAGATGTGGCTTGTGTGATGGGAATTCCCATGACTAGGTCACACACTTAGTTACTAGGGAGAGTTTTGATCTATTTGGTGAGCTACCTGACATCATCAGCTGAAATCTTATATAAGGGATTGGGCCCTTTCAGAAGTCAGAGACTGGAAGCACAATTCTTCTGATGGCTTTGAAGATGTGAGCATCCACATTGTGAGAGGGCCAAGTAGCTCTCAAGAAAACGGGGACAACTGCCGTGAAAGAGACAATCTCAGTCCCAGAGTTATCAGGAAAATAGGGTGGGGTCTTCTGCCAACAACCATGGATGAGAACCCTGAGTGTCAGATGAGACTACTGCCCAGCTGGTGTCTTGATTTCAGCCTAGTGAGATTAAGCAGAGAACCTAGCTATGCTGTGCCTGAGCTTCCAATCTACAGAACTAGAGCTGCAAATGAAGGTTATTTTAAGCCTCTCAATCTATAGTCAAGTGCTATGGAGTAATAGAAAACTCACACACCAACGCTCTTCTAGACACTGGGAACCACTGGTTCGTAGCATACCCCAGGCTTTATGTTTAAGATGGCAGAGTATTACATTTCTGCCTTTCTTTTCTTGAAAGTCAATCCAATGAAAAAGTTTCAAAAAATAAACAATACATGGTAAACAAAAATTTAAACCAGGAAAAGGGGACAAAAAAGCAATGCCATTCTCAATGAAGCCAAAAGGTACTGTTAACTCCAAACTATAGCCGAGCATAGAAAGATGGACTGCAAAGAGAGGAGGGAGAAATGGTATCTCATCAGAGAAGGCCACCAGCCTGGAGAGGGCAATGGTAACAAGTCAGTTTGCTATGTACAATGTAAAGTGGGTGAAAAATAGGGTGAATAGGGTGTTAGTCTGTTTTAGTGCTCAAGTTGCTACACCCCAGATTCTCAGCTCTCTCCTGGGCAGATATAGAAAGAATTCAGGCAAACAGAGGGAAGCAGGAATGCTCCTGTGACTAAAAGAGTGATCAAATCCTTAGTCCCTTTAGCAGGCTAACCCCCAAAGCCACCAGGATTTCTCAGAAGGTCCCTTCTTTAGAGAAACTGAGACTCCTCAAAGAAAAAAACCCACAGAACAGAGACAAAGCAAGCTGCCTGGCCCAACAGTGGAAATTTCAATCAGCTGGAAGGCCTAATTAATGTAAAGTTTAAGGCCAAGCAAAAGAAATATTAAACAGAGGCTCAGAGGAGAAGTGTAACAAAGAGAAAGATTAGTTTTTAAAGAGGGATCCAAGTAATGGGAACAAATGCCTGCTGGAAACAATCAAAATAAAATCAAACTTTTCTTTTCTTTTTGGTTCAGTATCTCAGTAGGTAACCTGGGCTGGCCTCAAACTCTAAATCCTCCTGCCTTTGCCTCCTAAGTGCTGAAATCACAAGTGTGCATCACCACACCTAGCAAATTGTTTTGGGTTTTAAAAAAACACCCTTTTTTGGTGCTAGTTTCTGCTACTGAGTTATACCCCCGGCCCTTAAGATCAACCTCTTAGGAGTTAAAAATATGATAGCCGAAATGTAAATTTTAACAGAACAAATGGAAGATAAAAGTGGAATGGATCTTCTAGGAAGAAGAACTCAATTAAAAATCAGAGGACCAACGTAATGAGCTTCAAAGAACCCATATGTGTCTCAGAAAGAGAAATGAGAAAACAGAGGCAAAGAATTGTCAAAGAAATAATGCAAGAACATTCCCTAAACTGTGTGATTCCACAGTGAAAGCTAAGTGCCAATACAATGGAAGAGAAAAGACCCACACCAGAATACATGGAGAAGAAAACCCAATTTCCCAGAATGAGTATACCAAAGGTTTGTGAGAGTAATATTGTCACAAATAATAAACTGAGCAGAAATGGTCCATTCAATGGTAACAGTGAATACAGTGGCCCAATGACTTTAAACTGAATGGAATTCACTTGCCAATCAAAAATTTGTACCCCAATCTATTAATCAAGTATGAAAGTACAATAAAGACTTTTCCAGAAATATAAAGTAGCACACAAAAAAATTACCCCTATGCATTGTCTCCGAAATTAACTGAGAAATGCTCCTTCAAACTAGAGTTAACCCAAGAGAAAGGCAAGGAGTTCAGGGTGACAGATGACAACAAAGGGAAAAAGCACTGTGTAATTATAATTAGGGCAACTATTTAAGAGGAAGTTGCAAAATAAATGGAAATATCATATACTAGTTAATTCAGCAGGAAATACATAACCAAAGCTATTCCACTACACATGGATTCACCCAGAATTCATACTGTAAACTAATGTAAAGATAACAACAGCAATGAATAATACAGCCTTCCTCCAATCTCAAGAGTCAACAGGGAATTTCTAAATTTAGTGACTCAAGAAATAACAGATGATTTAAAATTGGGGCCAATAAGCATTAATAATTTTTAAAATGTATAAAGGAAAATGGTCTTCAAGTTTTACTTAGAAAATATTCATTATAAAAAAGTTATATGGCTGAGTACGGTGGTGCATGCCTATAATCTAAGCACTTGGGAGGGAGGCAGAAGAATCTTGAGTTCCGTTCAGCCTGCACTACACAGTGAGACTGTCTTCAAAAACTAAAAAAAAAAAAATTTTACAATCCATACTCTGCCACCTAGTGGCTACATCTGTTAAGTACAGCCTGTCTTTGACAATGGAAAGTGTGGCATTTCACATGTAACCCACAAAAGACATCTAAATATTCATTCTTCCATTTCAATTCATCAACTGAATTCTGAACGAGAATATAAATACAGAAGGAAAACAGGCAATAAAGCTAAAGTATTTTATTAATAATTTATTGTCAGTAAGAAAGACTGGCTAATGATAGTTTTTAGTAAAAACCTTTACAAGACTATTGCATCACAAATATACAGACACTATAAAAACTGTGTCATGGTGGTTTTGGTTCTAAACAGTTATGCAGAAGGTCCCCATTACACTTTCCAATAACGAAAAATGTTTATAATCCTAAAATACAGCAACCCATTTAAGACATGTCCATGTGTTCTTCCTCATCCTCTATGTACAGCTAGAAATAAAAGATTATATTGAAATGAGTTAGTGAAATGTCATACTGTAGTGGAAAGGAACATATAGTGAAACCCTGACCATATTAAAAAAAAAAAATGATCAGGGTGCTAGTTAATGACTAACACCACCAACATTCAGCTGAAAACAAATGCACAAAGATTCTTGACAATCTAGTTAAAACTATGAAAAAAAATCAAATCTGTACATAAAATTTACAGAAGAGGAGACAGGAAAATTAAAATAATCAAATCTACATAAATACATGAATCATGCTAACAAGGTGGTAGGACTGATTTTCATTCCATATTTAAACACAGACAAATGTAATGTAAGTACAAAAAGATGCTCAGGAATGGCACAGCCAACGGCCATCTTGGCCGGTTACAGTAGGTTAGGATGCTGGAGATGGCTAACATGGAGAGGCGCGGGATTCAGTGCAGCCATGCCCATCGGAGCTCACCGAAAAGAAGCGCGAAAGCACTGCTGCTCTCAGAGAACAATGCAGAGGATTACAGATATCATCGCTAGGTTTCTTTAAAGTCCAGGCACTTTGGGGAGGAGTCTGAGCGTCAGACTTCCGTATGTTGCTGGGCATCCAGTGGAGGAATTGTTACCTCTTCAAAATGGCTGTCATCTCCACTTTCATAGTCACTCATCATGACCTCAGACTCCACTTCACAGCACGCTGACACATCAGAGCAGGAAGCTGTGGAAGCGTACATAGACATGGGCATGTTTTCGATAGTGGGGGCTTCAAAGTTTCTTTGATACCCTGGAGGGTAGGGGGCATACGGTTCTCTACAAGTACTATTCTCACCAGTGCCTTGTTTTTGAGGTTTGGACATATCGACGGGATAGAAATTGGGCAGGTACTGATTTAAGTTGAACCTCTGCAGATTTCTGGATGAAGAACCCAAGCTACCTGCAGCGGGCACGTCTCTGGGTGGGTGTATGGATTCAAACTGATCACTGAATTCTGGAGGCAATGGTGGCAGTTCGTCAGGCGCAGGGAAGTCTTCCGGTGGTGGTGGAAAATCACTTTCAATGTCGTAACCCCCAGGATAATAGTCAGTATCAATGGCATTGGGATCTGCTGAGTAGAGCGGTGTGTGCTCATCAATAACCTCGTAATTGGGGAACTCCTGTATATCTGGCAGAGGAACAGTTGGCATCCAATCTGATGTATCCCAGTGGTACCCTTGGTAGAAAAGAAAGCAAGAGATTTCAATATGTTTTCTCCCATGGTTTCTTGCTCTCTCAAAAGAACTCAGGGTATCAAAGACACAAAGTTGCAAAGCTCACCACAAAGCTCATTACTTTGGAAACCCTTTGTCACTAACCCCCCCCAATACAGATTTGAAGATCCCCATGAACTAGGGTCTATTCTAAACTGTGAACTTCAATTTTAGTACATATCCAACATTCAAGGAAATGAAAAGACTTGCAACAGAAGCAGTAGGTAGCACTTAAAATACATGCAGATTTCTATAAACAGTTACATTCACCTTCAACTTTCTTTCTGTAATTAAGAGCTCATTGCTCTAGATGAAGGAAGGTATTATTACTGCCTTCGGACATTAGGTAAAAAGTGTTTTCCTTTCAGAAAGAGATAGTCTCTATTGAGTAAAATATAAAATAGCACACTTAATCTGCACTACTTGTCATTAAAAAATATCAAATAAGGCAAACTTTTAATAAATCTTTAGCATGTTAAAATTTAGAAAAAAAAACCTTCCCTTATAAAAATGTAGTACACGTAATACAAAACTCTGTAGTATTTTTCATCAGCCCTAATTAAATCAAAGAAATACCTTAATACATATATGTATCAAACCATACCTCTAAATCAAACAAAATTTAGTCAAACAAGTTGAAAAGCATAACACAGTTTTTAATAGGTTACAACAATCTTTGTTATGTTTAAAAACACTAAGGATAATTTTGGACTATATAAAAAGTATCATTTAAAAAATCAAAAACAACTCTCAGTTTAGGGATAGCTACTTATTTTCATTTTTTTTCTTGGAATTTTAAAAATCCTGATAGCTAGGAAAAGGTTAGGCGATCCATGCTTAAAATGCAACGCACAACAGCCATGGGCTTATTAGTTACTCCTGCAAACACCAAGCAGCCAAGTGAAAGCAAGTCAGCACTGAGACAAATCTTCATTAACTTCTCTTAGTGACTACCAATGAACAACTGGCATGCATAAGTCACCTCTTGATTTGCTGAGGTCAGGAGCAGCCAAAGATTCTTTTGGTGGCAGAGTAGAAAGAAAAGAGAACACTGGTAATTAAAACAGACAGGTGGCTGAAAAGGCAATAAAGACAAGTACACAGAACAATGTGAACTGTTTATGAAGGCCAGTCAGCCACATACTATGTCCTTACCCCATCATCTACAGAAATTCCAGTGGCTGAGAAATTTATGTAGCACAAATAAAACAGGATATGGAAATAAGAAAAAAGAAAAGACGATGAATGATGATGAATGAGAGTCTCTGCTAGGAAACTAAAGCATTATTTTACTTTCCTTGTTCCTGATGACTGAAACCTGAAAACATAAACTTTACTTAGGAATATTTTAAGTAAAATCTACAGCCTCTACAATCGGTTATTAATCTAAATACACCTAAAGCTACATAATATACACATACTTTACAGGACATTATAACCTTCAAAAGTAAATTAAGTTCAGAGAAATTCCTGAACAAATTAAAGATACTTACAGATATATCTAAAACTGAAAAATCTCTCCAAACTTTATCCTGTGTGAATATGATTTACAGCTGCACTGTTAACCATTCCCTGGAGAGGTCATTAATTAGCTACACTTATTCCTCAGTCTCCTCCCCTCAAATCTGTACTTATGCTCATTTTTTCAGCGTTCTGATTTATGCACGGAACACTAGCACTGAGTCTGAGGAAGTGCATGTGTATCCCCAGGTCACAGGACACATGCCCTGGCCAATCTTTGGCTCTCTGAAACTGGGGTGAAAAACCCCTTAGACTGTTAAAAAGACTAAAAAGATAATGTAGATCAAGCACTAGTTGACAGGTATTGTCAAACACTGTGAAGGCAGTAATCACGGCAGAAACATGGTCCCCATGGTAATTTTTAAGCAAGGCTAATCCTCTATGCATTCTATAATGTTCTTGAAAATCCAAGTAATAAATCAACTTTGAACAAATATTTGATTGCTGTCTCTTCTAGGAATTTAAATAAAAAACTGTAAAGACCGATGTTTCTAAAAACATATGAATAAGCTACTATTTAGGAACCATGTATCTATAAAATTTTTTGACGTCTACTAAAAATGTAGTAAATTCCTTTAAAAAATGAGAATTGACAACTTTTATTACTGAATAAGTACTTGATAATCCAGAAAATTTAAGCTAGCTTTCAATTTTAAATTCATTTTATACTTTTTAGATAAACAAAAGAAAAAAATTCACTGAAGGAACTGTTTAAATTCCATTTCTTTAAACAGTATCAATATTTTAAATGTTATAAGGTCATCATGTGGAAACTAAGATTCACTAGACAAAATATCACTAAACTTCTGATCCACCATGTACAAACAGCAGCACTTCTTAGGAAAATGGGCATTAAGTCTCTAATAGTTGGGACACCCCAGCCCTGCTTCTCCTATCAAATCCAGCAGGAAACCATCATTCCCACCTCAATCTCAGCACACATGTCCCTTAAACTCTATGGTGACGTTTGCGTATTATCGAGAGCCTGTACAGGTAGTTCTCCAACTTTGATCCTTAGACCAGGAACACCAGAATTAACTGGAAATTTGACAAACATGCAAATCCTCAAGGCCTACCTTGGATGTACTTTATCAGGAGCTTTGCTGATGGGAACCAGCAAGTCAAGCTTTTAATAAGTCCTACAATGACCTGATTTACACTGGTCTGAAAACTAGTAGCCTGTGCCTTTCACATGTGATCACTCCAACTTCAGTGAACTACTAAAGGGCTAATTTGATTTGAAATGTGTAAGTGTTCTTTCTTATAATTCTGAAAAGATAAGCTTGACATTAAATGATTTCTATGAAGTCAAATTTGAAAATATACTTTCTGCCATGTTCTACCATTTTCTTTGATCATACTCAAGGAAAAACTAAGTTGAGTCAGTTTTAGGAAACTATAAAAGCTTTTAGTATTCAGTCTTAGTGGAGTTCATATGAAGAGGATTTTGTTCTATTAAAAACTTTGGATAGTTAAAATTTACTTCTGAAATTCTTAGCATTGTACTACATGAAGGTAAGTCTTTGAGATTCTATGAGTTACTTCTGATGTCAGTGTAAGTCACTATGGGTGGTAAAAAGTAACAGAAAGACATAACATACATAGAAACATGTTTTTGCAATGGGACTGTATGTTGAATAAACACAACTTTGCAATTTAAAAAAGTAAACCTTTCCAAACCACAATCTACTTTTCATAATAGGCAAAAGCACAGCACTCCAGTGACACAGTCACTGTAAAACACAAACACACAGCACAAGCATTATGACTATGACTATACCTTCTTTAGTCACCGTGTCAACTACAGCATTGACAAGGTGTATTACAGTCACTATGGAAGCTTGGAAAAAGGTACAAAAGGAGGCAATTAGGAAAACCTGAAGTTACTTAGAAAACAGTGCATGAAATAAAATTTCTTACTATTACATGATTTCTGCCCTATAATTTAAAATTGTCAAATGACTGCTTTAACACAACATATTATTTAATTATACATGACCCTTACACTCTGTTATGTTTCTATTATTAATCAAATGAATAATATGTTTATTGAAATTTAAGGTAAAAATTAGCTACAAAACTTTTCAGTTATAAACACAGGTTGTGTCAGGGTAAAACAATTCTTATTTTAACATCTCATGGATAAAAGACTTCACATTCAAAGAAGTTGTATATCACCCCAGAGTAAGAAAATTTAAGGCAACACATATGAAATATAAATACAAAAATGTTTTTGTCCATTTGCTCCCATCCCAGACCTGTCTTCAGCAGATATACTAATAACAGCCGGTGAGCTAACACACCAGCAGTGAAGTACAGACTATTTGACTGCTTATTTCCTGTGTAAATTCCTTTTTTATCTGTGTATATTTGAAAATACCTATGCCAAGACAAATGTGTATACACGTGCTGGGTAGAAGGATGGCCCTCAAAGATGCCTGCATCCAAATGCTGGGAACCTGTTAGTCTATTGCCATACACAGCAAAAGGATTCTGACATGATTAAAGCCTCATGATGGGGAGACGGAAAGATTTGCCTGATCTACTAGGTTTACTGGATGAACTGACAAAAGTCCTTGAAAGAGAACAATCTCTGTCAGCTGTGGATGGAGCGTGGCACTAAGCCCACAGATGGTTAGTAAAATGCAATGTTGCTTTGCTGTCTTTGAAAGACGATGAAGTCTCTTGTCAAAGAATGTAAGTGACCTCTAGAAACTGGAAAAATGAAGTGGATTCTTCCTTAGAGTTTCCAGAGACAAATGCAGTCCCATTGACACCTTGACTTTAGCCCAGTGGACTTCTAACCTACAGAACTGTACAGAAATTGTCTGTGGTACTTTTAAGCCCCTAGGTTTGTGGTAAACTTTCTCAAAAGGCCTAGAAAATAATAAATAAAATGTTAAGTATGGAGTATAATTTTATAACTAATAATGATTAAATTGTGCAACAATTAAAATATAAACATTTCTGTATATGTCTTTTCCCTGTATTTTTATCTGGCAATTAATTTTCATAACTAATTTGACCATAATTTACTAAAGGTATTTGGGAGTATTATTAAGAATCAAATAGCAATAAAAACCAGAAAAAGAAATACACTGACAAAATTCTGAAATGTATTAAACTGACAATAGTTTTGAAACTTATGAAACAAATAATCCTACTTTGTTTTTGTTGATTTAATAACAAAAGATATATCCATCTACTCCATTACAAATACACAAAGATATACTTTGTATCCTATGTATAACTATGTAAATATTCTACAGAATATCTTATGTAACATGCTTGAAATCAGAGCTGAATAAAACATACCCATGGCCATTGTTAGTTTGGAAAAGGCTCTGCAATGCTTTCTGTGCTATGTGGATTTATGGTCCATGTACATGAATCTATTATGAGCTGCATTACTCTAGATTATGGGCTATATTGCTTTGGATGAGATAATAATTAGCCGATTACTTCTTTCCACCAAATGATATTCAGATGTAAATACATTAGATCTTTATGTAGAAAAAAAAATCCAATTAAGCCTGCAAATTTTGAGATTTAAGCATTTCCACAAAAATGTACTTTACCATGTTACTGAATATTGACAATTTTCTGTACTGTATGTATTAATAAGGCAAAGCTGGCTATCAGTGCACATTACCCTAGGGAAATCAGATTAAACCTAACTGGTGTCATAGATCCCACTGCCAAACTTTCTTCATTAGAAATATAATCAAACTTACTAGCAATCTCTTAAACTGCGCTCTCAGTCAGTACGCTCTGATCCACATGGGAGCTGGGGCCGCAGTGTGGTTGGGAGAAGAGACAAATAAAACCTTGTAATACCAAAGGTGTGACTGAAATTGAACATTTCAGACTATACAGCTCTTCTTAGAGCCTGTGTGTGTGTGTGTGTGTGTGTGTGTGTGTGTGTTGGATGGTCAGAAAAGTTGTTACAAGGGTTTTTAGAAAACCCACAAACTTTCCGTAACATTTACTATTATGCAAATGAGTTATACAAGATTAGCCAATCAGATAAAAATTATCTTTCAATTAATTCTACCCTATTACTGACACAATACAACAGTTAAAATACCTATTTGTTGAGATTTTTTTTTTTCAGTGCTAGGGACTGAACCAAGGGCGTTGTGCATGCTACACGAGTGGTCTACCATTCAGGTATATTTAAAATATCTTCCCCAGCAGATTTCATGCAAGTATTTACAAGGCATTGTTTAAAAGAGGTCCAAGTGAAATCTGGAAATGTTCCAAGACTTAGAGGCTCTAGTCCTTCTATGTTATTCTATAACACAATGAGAACACACTATGCACACGCAAGCAGCCACAGCACTTGGACATCCCAGTACTCACCATTGTCATCACATGACTCAGACTGGAAGGAGCTTAGGGACTGCACTTCAGACAGGCTCTCCCGGGCACTGTATGGCTGGGAAGGCTTCTCCTCCAGTGGCTTCTTGGAAAGACAGGGATCAAGATCTACCACTTTAGCTAAGAGGAAGAGACAACAGACAACCAGTAAGTCCCATGTGGGTCAGGACTCTATTTCACTCGTTGCTGTACTTTACCAAAGACTACTTGAGACTCATGTAACAAATGAACAGCTGAAAGAAAAAAAAGTGAAGCACCTTAAATACAAAACAACATAAAGGCCTACAAAAGCTCTTGGAAAGTCATAGACTAAAATTCTTCCATATACAGGCCTATGTATGTCATTAGGCAGTAAAGAAATTTTGTCTTAGAATGGCACATATGGCTTTTTTCCTTAAGCATCAATTATGTTAGGTCACTAATATAAACCCTGCTACTTCCTCTGGCCATTTTTAAAAAAAAATTTCTAGCATGGAAACGCTCCCCAATTTTTCTTAATAAGTCCACCAAAAAGTCATAGTTGAGAACCTATATCAAAAAAAGTGAAATAATCTTTCCAAAATATTAACAGGAACATGACTAGACTCAACCCCTTCATTAACACAACACCATAGCCACACCACCAACCAGAACTCATGGTATCTTACAGTTTTTCAACTCTCAGATTTTGAGAATATTTATCTTTAACAATGTCTCCTCATTTCTACTTGAACCTCAGTGGCTGTGGCAGAACCTGTAATCTCCTTTTTTAACCAAGTAACTTTTTTAGTGAGAGGAAAGTTGTTCTTACTGTCATAGTCGAAGTCCCAGTTAGGCTTCTGTATTGAGTCACTATCAGAAGGAGAGTTGGAAGGAGGAGGGGGAGGCAAGTTTGGGGCCACACTGCAAACGGCCACTGCTTTTCGGTGTCCATGCATAGACTCTGGGTTAAAAGTACTGAATTCTGGGTGCTCTGGGATAGTAGATCCTTCAAAGGAGTTCCGGTCAAGATTGTTTCTAGAGTCACTTGGAATGCTCGGAGTGTAGGAAATAGGACGGACAGGCACCTGGGGTGGTATGTCTGAGTAAATGTTCTTATTTAGCTTTGAATCAAAATAAGGTCTTTGCAAGAAAGCTGTGGTTGGTCCCAAGTGCTTGTCTTCAGGTTCAGCCTGGTGTTTCTTCTTTCTACTAATCATCTTTCGGCAGAGGACAAACACCACCACCAGTAAAAATATTCCTGCTATAAAAACAATAATTCCTATTCCTTCAGCCAAGCCAATATTCCATGGGGTGGATACGTATAGGTTGGGAGTTGCATCCTCGCAGTGCTTTCCTCTGTACTCGTGGCTGCAGTTACAGTGATAGGAGCCGTGTGTGTTCTCACAAAGGGCCCCATTATGGCAGGGGTTTCCAGCACATTCATCAATGTCACTCTGACACCTGCCAAGAAGGTCAAGAAAGAGGAGAGGTCGTTGCAATGTTTGTCAGACTATGCCATACCTATATAATCCTTCAGAGATGAAAAACGAAATTAGAATCCCTCCTTGGTAAGACATGCCAAACAAAACCAAATATGAAACAACTAGAAAATGTATCAACAACAGTAAGTGCAACAAAAAACTCTTTTGCAGAATACTGAATCACTTAGTTATATGCCCTGAATATATATTTGGGAGACAAGCATACCAAGCCAATATGTAACTACCATTTTTCTAGGATGCAACAGATTACTAAGCAAACCCCATAGGCTAAACATCAGTTTGTTTCCTGTTGTAACAGCCAGGTAAATGCTGTGCTGTAAACGCCTCTGATAGGTTACATTTATAAGAATATGTTCCTGTTTGGGAAAATGACACTTCCACAACACATGTGAAAGGATGGAAAACTAATATTTTCCATTTTAAAATGTTATTTCCTATTGAAAACCTTTCCAGGTGACTCACACTTACAGAATATATCGCAAGTCCCTTCAGCCTTTCTAAATGGGGGCATATGGCATATCTGTGCAGATCCACCTGCCACTTCTGAAACTGTCCCTTCTTTAGTAAAATTTATCTACTTACTGTCCTTCACACTCACCTGCATAATAATTCGATTGCTGACATATTTTTGTCAAATATCTTAAGATTATTCACTGACTAGAATTAGGAAAGTCAACTAATGAACTATAGCCATGTATTGAGTGACAGTATTTTGGATTATGACCACTGCAAGAGCAAAACTAGAGGAATCCCTGCAAGCAGGTCAGTCTAATTTTAAGACTGATAGTGAAGGGCTATCTAAATGTGCGATGCTAGGCAGGCACTAGCACATACCACGCACTGAGTAATTTTTTTAAGTGATTTTCTAAGTAAATGATCAGTCTAACAAAAAATGATATCTAAAACTACAATCGTTTATCCACTTTTTTAAGGTATACAACAGGCACTTCTGTGCCTCATTTCTGTCACCCAAAAAAACCACGTCTTAGGATTATGGTAACAATTATTAAAGATAATGAGAGTTCAAAAAGGTTTCTACGTGTTGTATGAAAATGTTAGTTATAGCATATTATAAAAAATCATCACTGGGCGCCAGTGGCTCACACTTGTAATCCTAGCTACTCAGAAGGCAGAGATCAGGAGGATCGCAGTTCAAAATCAGCCTGGGTATAGTTCACAAGACCCTATCTTAAAAAAACCCTTCACAAGGTAACACACATGCACAGGAAATCAATGAGAGTCAAACTCCCTGTAGAGCTATCCTTATCTCAACTAACAAAAACCCTTGGTCCTTCCTATTATAGCTTATATACTCTCTCTACAACAAAATTAGAGACAAGCGCAAAATAGTTTCTGCAGGGTAGCGAGTGGGTGGGGGGGAGGGAGAAATAACCCAAACATTGTATGCACATATGAATAAAAAAAAATTTTTTAAACAAAGCAAAGCAAACAAACAAACAAAACAAAAAACCCTTCACAAAAAAGAGCTGGTGAAATTGCTCGAAGTGTAGGCCCTGAGTTCAAACCCCAGTACCACCAAAACTAAAACAAAACAAAAAAATCATCATCATTGCTCTTAAAGATGGATGGGTATAGCTTTACAGCAGTCTGCTCTAAAACATGTATTAAACTCTCTCACTTAACAAGCATTTGCTGCCTGCCACAAACCCACACATTCTTTGTCTACAAATAATACTTCTAAAGTATAGAAGTGGGGTTTTTCGAGAATAATGTATATTAATTTTCCTGATGTTTTCTTTTATCTTAAAGAGGAAAAAGATAAATCATAAAAATGCAATGAGAATTATCAAATTCTGAAGCAACATAGTATGAATTAATGAAGCTCTGTTGTTTTTGCTAATGAATATGACATTATAGAAAGGTACAGACATAAATCTTAAAAGAAACCATTTACCTTTCTCCCCGAAAACCTGAATCACATTGACAAACAGCACCGTCCAAACTGTCAAAACATGTTCCACCATTTTTACAGGGTTCATCTTTGCAGTATGGACTAAGCTGGCATCTGAAGAGTAAGAAAATAAAATATGCATGAACCTCCTACAGCAAAACAGAAGACATTAACAAGTGAAAAGTGTAGACTTTTCATGTGCAGAATTACACGTTTAAAAAATGTAATGCTGTAATTCATTAGCAAGGTTAAGAAAAATACACATACCTCTGACCGGTATATAATCCTCTACATTGGCAAACAAAGTCTCCATTGTCTACCACGCAGGTACCACCATAGAGGCAGGGGTTGGAGGAACACGGGTTGATGCTCACTTCACAGAATGTCCCTATGAATAAAGCACTGCACTTGCAGTAATAACCTACACATTAGCAGAAAGGAACAAAAACGTCCAATCATTCAATGATCAAAAAATGTCCTACTATATTGTTTTTTACCTTTAAGTGAAGATATAATTCCCTAAGATCTATAAATTTATCTTCTGGATAAACTGTTTTCCATATGGAAAAACCTTCTATTTCTGCTACAGGTTATGCAGTTCCATGTTTCATATTTTGGAGTTTTGGGATATTGATTATTTGCACAGACTTTACTAGTTAAATATCCCTAAACTAGAAATTTGGAAATCCCAAATGTTCCAAAATCAGAAAATGTGAATATCACATTGGCACTCCAAGAGTTTTGGATCTTAAAAGCATTTCAGGTTTTGAATTTTCAGATTGGGTATGATCAACCCATAGAACCAAAACCAAAATACTTAAAGAAAGAATTGTAGAAACTGAAGAAAGAATTTGTAACTAGTTTTAACTCATCATACTTGATGTGAGATTACTGGACCAACAGAATAGAGCAGGAAAAAAACAGTGCAATGAGTAACTGTACATAGACAACACTACTTGATTACATCAACTTAGTTCCAGCCCACCAGCATGGAAGGATTGAGTAAAAAATAATGAACGTGAAAAGAACGTTAATGACCCCAAGTTACCACTCCAATGTTTAAAAGAAGAGCATTAAATTTGTTCAAGTGAGCACAAACAATGTCCACTTAGGTAGTATGGCAGACTATTTCCAACTATCTGCCTTCAGGGACCATAGCAGGATGCTACTTCTTTGCCTCCTCAAAAGCTGATCACAACTATGTGTCTTTCTTTGATCCAAGGAATGTGGCACTTTGGGCTAGGAGTTTGAGGAGCCAGTGCACTCTCATCTGTCTCATCCCTGGGTGGCACAAAATGAGAACAGCTGGGACAGCCTCCTTGCTGCCCTGATTTGGATAGTTAATTAATTTGAGCACAATATAATCTTTGTTATGTTATACCCCTGAGATTTTCAAAGTGCTTTGTGGGGATAACTTGGCCCAGGCTATTAACTTCACAGTACATATACACTTTCCAAGGAAACAGCAGAAAACCAAATTTTTTGAAATCCCACTTACCTAAAATATTACTTTCTAATTTTTCTATTAATTAACCAAGCTCTAAATATTAGTCATGATGACTTGTCATTTTTCCTAATTGTATTCTATCATTTCTATGTGGCCCCATAGGAGTTCAGGACACAGAAGCTTCTGCGTATACCACTATGCGAGGCTGTAAGACATATGTGGCAACACTTCAGGATGGGCTCAAGGCATACTAGAAAAATCATATTCCAATCTTGTATTGCCAGCAAGACTCAGCAGGCCCTCTGTGCTGAGCCATCAGATGAAAGGTGGTACAACAAACTAAGAAGAACTCAAGAGATACTAATTATAAATTACCTGAGTAGGCATCTTTATGATGGCGGATAAGCTCAGAGTTACATGTGGTTTGTCCGTACTTACTGGTTCAGGAGAAGACATGTACAGAAATACATCCTGCTCAAGTACCTGAAATATTACTGAGGAAGCTCGGCAGCCAGAGAAACTACTGTCTTCAATCTAGTTGGTGGGAAGTATTCTAAATTCTGCTCTGCTTTAAGACATGCTACTCAATTCTGACTGTGCTATCTGTACTGACGGCAACATCTGACAGTATTATTTGGATTAAAGGGAAAAAAAGCAAAAACATATTGGGAACTTCCCCTTAAATAGATGCACATGTAACTTTTAAAGATTGTAACATTATGAAGCCTACCTCCAGTAGGTGATGGATTGCAAGTGCCTCCATTCTGACAAGGGTTACTTGAACAGTCCTCTGTAGCTGTTAATAAACACCCAGGAGATATATCCACTGACTCTTCCATGTGTGCGTAACTTCTTGGTTTGCTATTTAAAGGCAACTCCTGTCCATTCAAATAAATGGAGTCCATACATCCTCTGAAACCATTACCGACTTGGGGGCTTCTTCCATGCCTTGTTCCTTGCTGGCGGATATGGCCACCAAAAAACACATAGTTATCCAGGTTCAGGGTTTTCAGAGTCCCTGGGGCTGTGCCTGATGCAGTGTGAACTTGGTCTAGAACCAATCTGGCATAATTTCCATTCACTTCAAGAGTCACTGCATGCCACTGCCCATCATTGACTTGAATGCTCTGAACAGAGACAATTCCAGGGCCACTTCCACAGTCAAATTTGTACTGCAGTCTTCCATTATGAATCTATGATAAGAAACAATTACTGCTCACACAACTCTGAGAACCTTCTATTATAGTCAATGACCAAAAGTCTACAGAAGAGATGTTTGGCAAATGAAGGTAAGTAGAATAAGGCTTTGCATTGAAATACTAGAGAGCATGCATGCATTTGTTCACTGTATGTACAATAATGGATCTTTTAGGGATTAAATTTTAACTTTAAAGACATCAATGAAATGACTAGTAACTGTTAATTAAGTGCATGCCACAAACATGCTTACGAATACTACCTACACATACACACAAAGCATCAAAGTCAAAACTTAATAATGTCATAAAAATTAAAAGTGGGCATGATACCTATCACTCCAAATATATGTAGGATTTCTCAGTAAACTTATTGTAGCATTAATAAGATGTAATAACTACAGCTGGAGTGCTATCACACATGTCTAAAATATTTTGTAAAAAAACACAAGTAAATGTCTATGTTACTGCAGAACAAGAAGAATTTTTCAACCCATAAAGTGTAAACCTTGTACCGGTATCAATTAATTCTTTGAAATGTGGAACTTACTCATCTTGCTTATTTTGTTTTTTTAAAACGGAACTATCAGAATGTGAAACAGAATTTCTATTTTTAAAATCTGCTACAATCTGAGGCACAAAAATGTATAAATGCATACCTCCAAGATACTGTAGTCAGTTCCACGAGCATACACTACGACTGCATGGGTAGAGTAGGTTCTGAGTCTCATTGACAGTTTCATTTCTAGTTTGTTTTCATTTTCCATGAGACGGTATTTTACAAAGCTGTTTCCAGTAAATGTTATAGATGAACTCCCTATGAATCACAAAGAAGAAAAGAAAAATTGTATCAGAACAAAATTTAAGCATATTTTTAGAGTATGATTTTTCTCCCAGAGACTGGTTTTTAAGTTTAAGATTATAACATTGTTAAATTAAGTTCCACGAGAAAATGTCTATTTGCTTTAATCAATAGCAGAGCATAAATGGCTCTCCATTTCAAAGAGAAATAAGACTGCTACATCACAGAGAAATGAATTCTGAAATTATGACAGATCAAAATTCTAAAATGTTCTGTGTAAGTTATTAAAAGATAGTTTCAGCAAATAGCTACATAGCCTCAAGGTTGCTTGGCAAACCTTCTCAAGCAAAATATAAAACAATCCCCATTCCTCAAAGAAGATGAAAATGGTATCTGTTGCTGGAGTAGTTTTATAGAATTGAACAACTAAAGCATAAATTTCAAAATGACTAAAGATACATTTAACATCTCAAAAGATCAGTAATACACAGAAAGGGAGAGTTGAAACAAAAAGAATGTTAAAACTTCTTAATACCTGAGGATAAGAAAGAGTAATAGAAGGGATGAATTTGATCAAAGTACATCACATGCATGTATGGAAATATCACAGTGAAACACCTTTTGTACAATTAATATATGTTAATAAAATAAGAGAAAAATACTCTTAATACCCAGAGAGCTGTACACATTAAGAGAAAAAAACAAATGGCCCAGAAAATCAAGTAACAATTTTAACAGGCAAGTCACCCAAAAGGAAATGTTAGTAAGTGATAAACTTAAGAAAAGGTAACTTTTATAAATAAAAGTGAAAATTAAGGGGGAGTAGCCCAAAACATATGAGTAAATGTAAAAGCAATAAAATGGACAAAAAAGAAAAAAAAAAAAAGAAGAGAAAATTAAAATAACAGATCTCATTTCATGCCATATTAAGTGAAGATCTTCAGGACTGGCACTAAGAATGAGAATTGAGACCTTCACACATGACTGGAAGAAATAGGAATTGGTTAAACTACCAATTAACTACTTTTTGTGAAACTAACATAATGGTATCTTTAAAAATATAAGATATACTTAATCACTGACATAGTAGATCCTCTTTTCAGAATCCACTGAAATAGAAATGAAAGCACCAACAGGTAAGGTTGCATATAAGAATTCTTTTTAACAGAAACTATGTAACAATTAGAATCTCTATACATAAGGAAAATGTAGCATGGTATAGCCATGTGCAGCTATTTAAAAGAACTAGGTTTACATGTACTAGGCTGGAAACATGTCCTTAATATACTATTAAGTGGAGGGGGGAAAAAAGCAAGAATTGGAACTGTATGACACCTAGCACTGTTGAGTTTGTTTTTAAAGAACAACGAGACAGAAAAAGAAAAACTAAATCTCTAACGCTTATATAAGCACTGATGATACAGAAGGGGGAGCACCACACTGAACTCAAAGGTATGCTGTTATGAAAGAGGAAGGAAAAGTCACTACTGTCAGTCTTTACTCATTTCTACATTTGGCTTGCTATATAAACGTACTATACATCATTTTGACTTAAAAAAGTTGATTCTTCACAATAAAACTATGATTAATCATTGAACTCTCACCTGGGCACTGACCAGGCCTGCCACCAGGACACACACAAGTATACTTTTCCTCTCTGGGATCAGCAACACATTCTGATCCCACTGGGCAAGAATTCTCTTCACACCCATGGTGAACAGGTGGGCAGTTCCCCTCTATAAAAAGAGGGAAGAGAAATAAGGAATTTTAAGAAAATGTTCTTTAGTATGTAGCCATTAAAATCCACACATGAAATACTCTTTTAATACCCATCTTCATATACTTGTGTATATTACCTTTGCAGAGACACACAGCAGTTCTATGGTGGCGGGGAGTCACAAAACTCAGTCTGGCTGTGCTATGTGTTGACATAACATTTTCATCCACAGATAACTTTTCGTCACAGAATTTCCAAGGGCAATCCAGTCCTGCACAGAGCTTGTGGAACACATCCAGTATCCTAACACCAATGATTTCCTCGATATCAGTCACAGAAGAATTAATTTTGTGCAGAAGTTGATTTGTTGAAACCTGAGCACTACCTGATTTCTCTACAAAAAGTAAGACATCCAGGTGCGGATGAGGTTCAGAGGGCTGCAAACTAACAACCTGTATGTCATTCCTCCTTGTGCCCAGGATGTTCCGTAGAGCTCGCTGGAAGTTGCGCCAGTAGTCGCCGACAAATTCTTCTGGAGTGAGATTGGCAAAGCGAATAGCAATGGTATGATTCAACATCTCCTGTGTTATCTGTCTGATCTGCACTGTGATGTCAGCCACTGTTGTAAATTTTCCATCTGTCACGCTGACATTAAGAAGGTACTGCCCTATATCTAGCTTTTTGTGTGCGATCAGCTTACCCCCTGTGCTGGAAATAGAAAACAGCTTGTCCATCTGGGGATCGAGACTGTAGGTTAAAGTGTCATACACATCTTGGTCTGTTGCATGGATCTTCCCAATGACACCACCTGAGTACTCCTCTCCAAATGCAGTAATGAAAATCTCTAGTGGCAAAATGGCAGGCGGATGGACACTTTCCTCAACAACCCTAATGTCAATGTATGTCAAAGATGACAGCTGAGGTTTTCCATTATCTGCCACCTACAAGAAAAGGAAAGTCACCTTTGTCTTCATTGTTTGCAACATCTTTATAAAAATACATTTATTCAACTATTAGATACTATTTTGCCACGTGATAAACCTAGCAAGGAAAATGACAAACAAAGTGCTCCCTCACAGGCCTTTCACTAATTCATGGTCTATAATGATGTAACAAATGAATAAATGAGCTCCCTCAAGGTGCAGGGGAGCAAAAATTAAAGTGTCACAAAAACAAAGGCCGTAATTGCATAAATTTTTGTTTTCTCAGGAAAAGTAAGATCTTCACCTAATTACCAAGCAGCTGTTCTCTTTGACTCCACAATAAAACCATAAAGACAGACTTCAATACCTTAACATGCAGGAAGTAATGGTCCTTTACTTTCCTCTTTATCACAGCCGCCGTCAGGAGAACTCCTTGCTGGTTCACTTCAAACGCTTTGTCGTCATTTCCACTCACAATAGTAAAGAAGAAGGGTGGGCCATTGTGAGAAGAATCCTTGTCTGTCACTACTAGCTGCAGGACACTGAAACCCACTGGCTTGTTTTCCTGCACAAATTTAAAACATCAGAACAAAAGTCTTTGAACACAACCAAATCTTTATGTTAAAGGACACATATAAGCTTTTAAAAATAATATAAAATATACAGAAAACAAACCCATCTGAAAGGAAGGCAGAAAAGAGAGGTGGAGGAGTAAGGGAGGTGGATGGGAAGGGATGGGGGAGGGTTGGCAGAAGGATGAGGAGCAGTTAACAGGAGGGTAAGGAGGGATGGGTGGAAAAGGGCAGAGTAGAACAACTGCGGGTGGTAGGAGAAGTGGGAGGGAAGAGGAAGATCAAGGGGTGAGAAGGAAAAAAACAGCAGCAGAAGATATAATTATGAAAACCTCTTATCTTAGAACAGTGAGAATATCTTAGAAATAAGCACAAAAAGAGATAAAACTTGACTGCATCTTGAGAATGTTCACCTTTTCAGACTGATGTAGACTCCTCTAACTTTATTTTTTCTAGTTTTCTAAAGCACTTTAGAAAAGAAAGATATTTCAAACGAGCTACTGAGGCCAACGAATGACCTCATTTCGAGAGAAGCCCACGAACCGTTCAGCACACCAAGCTCACCTGGATGATTATACTGTGGTTGCCCTTGGAGAAGATGGGAGCATTGTCATTGACATCAGACACATCGATGTTCACAGTGGTTGTGTTGACTCTGGGTGGACGGCCATTGTCGGAAGCTTGAACCGTGAGCGTGTAGCCTGAAATCTTTTCAGGGAAAAGACAGAGAAGACATGCTCATTTTCATAATGCTGAATTGGGATTAACTGCCACTTACTAAACCCCCTGTCTATGTAATTCCCTAAGCTACAACTCAGTGCACTGCAAATAGTATGTATTTTCTCAACAGAAAAAGTTACCAATAATGATGATTCTCCAATGCCTCTCAAAAATATCTTACTAAGATGTTTTGTCTTTAAAAATTTACAGTTCTATTAACAAAAATAAGACAGACAAGTAACACAAATGAGTAGAGAAAATTGTTAATATCTCTGAAATGCTTTTGCCTTGATAGAAGGCAACCTTCCCTGAGGCCCAAATCTTGCTCTCAGCAGAAGGAAACAGACACGCATGGTCTCTCGCCCTTGAGTGCTGACTCATTTCCAACATCCCAGGATATGCCAAAGCACCCTCCTTCTCAGTTTCACACATGGCCTGTACTTAGTTGTCTAAATCCCTCATGATAATCTCTGTGACCTTCTACAAGAGAAATCAAACTTCTTGTTCAGGCAGCTCCCTGCTAAGATATCTTTTCTATAAGGAGTGATGGAAGTAGCCAGAAGCTGGCTAAATCCCAGAGTACTACTCTGTTGAACATTAGTCCAGGAAGATGTTCCAATGAAAAAGGGTTGTGAGGTCAAATTAGCTTGGGAAACACCACAGGCTACTTCCTCTGCTAACTCACAACGACGCACATATATTAAAGGACCTGGGTTCTTTAGTCAAAAATTGCTAAATTTTAACTAGGCATGGCAGGTTATGCCTATAATCCCAGTACTAAGGAGGCTGAGGCAGGAGGATCTTGAGTTGAAGGACAGCCTAAGCTTCACAGTAAGACTGTATCAAACAAACAAGCAAGTAAGCAAAATAAAACAAAAACTAAATTTTACTCTGCCCAGCATAAGCAACCCCATGCCTAACAGTTATACTGTCTAACGTTTTGTAAAACTCCTACTGTAATAACAGGTCATGACTTCAAACTATACTGCAAAGCCATACCAATAAAAACAGCATGGTACTGTCAAAAAAAAACAGACATGAAGACCAATGGAACCGAACAATAGACCCACACATAAATCCACGCAGCTACAGCCACCTAATTTTTCATAAATGAGCCCAAAACATACGATGGAGAAGACAGCCTCTTTGACAAATGTTACTGGGATAACTGGATGTCTACATGTAGAATCCTAAACCTAGATCTCTGTCTTTCATCACCCTGTACAAATATCAATTCAAAGTAGATCAAGACCTTACTGTAAGGACTAAAACTTTGAAATGACTGCAGGAAAGAACAGGGAATACACTGGAACATACAGCAATAGGGAATAACTTCCTAAATAGAACTCCAATGGCTCAGCAATTAAGAGAGAGGACTGACATGTGTTATGGATGACATGAAACTGAAAAGCTTCTACACAGAAGAGGAAATGGTTTCTAAATTGAAGAGGTTGCCCACAGAATGGGAGAAAATCTTTTCCAGCTATACATCTGACAAGGAATTAACAGGCATAGGGAGCTCAAAAACCTAAACTCCTAAAGAATCAATGACCCAATGAAGAAATGGGCAGATGAACTGAACAGAAATTTTTCAAAGGGAAGAAAAACAAATTACCTAAAAACACATGAAGACATGCTCACCATCCTTGGCCATGAAGGAAGTGCAAATCAAAACCGTGTTAAGATTCCTCCTCACTCCTATTAGAACGGCTACCATCAAGAACACAAACAACAAATGTCGGTAAGGATGTGGGAAAAGGAACCCTCATGCACTGTTGGTGGGAATGCAAATTTATGGGAAGCAGTATTGAGATTCCTCAAAAAATTAAAAATAGAACTACCATATGATCTGGCATATATCTGAAGGAATGTAAATCAGGACACAATAAAGACACTTGTACACCCATGTTTACTGTACCATTATTCAACAGTAGCCAAGTTATGGAAACAGCTCAGATGCCCTACAACTGATGAATGGATTAAGAAAATGTGGTCTCTGTGTGTGTATAAAATGGGTATTACTCAACCTTAAAGAAGAATGTAAAACAGGTCCTGTCTATAGCTGGTACCAGTGGAAAAGGGAAGGATATAAGGAAAGGGTGCAGGAGGGTGAATATGATGAAAATATTATTTATTCATGTATAAAAATGTAATAATGAAACCTGTTGAAACTATTCTAAGAACTGGGGGAGGGGGCATAAAGGAGAATGATGGAGGGGGGTGAATTTAATTAAGATATGTTGTAAGTACTTTTGTAAATGTCACACTATACTCCCAGTACAACAATATGATAATAAAAAAATTAAAAAGCAAACACAAGCATTATCATATATTCATGTATACAGAGAACATGTTTCCAATAGTGGGACTGTTAGAGGAGACATGGGGAGAAGGGAAGGAAAAAGAGAATGATAGAGCGTGAATAATATTGAAATACATCAAATCTGTGTAGGAACAATACACAACAAAATGCACTGAAAACTGTTGAACAATATGGGGTAGGTAGAAAAGGGTATGGAAGAGTAATAGAGGGGGTCAGACTGTTAAAACTACAATACCTAGACAAAATCCCACTGAACAATGAACACATACAAACAATGAAGGTCAGGAATATAAAACAGGTCATGTGAAGGGAAGGGCACAGTGGGAGGGGGAGAATAAATGAAGAGGGTAAAGAAGAGTGAACATGGTAGAGGTATTTTTCTATACACATGTGAATATGAACACTGAAACCTATTGAAGTCCTTCTATTTTTTTTTATTTCTTTTATTCACATGTGCATACAATGTTTGGGTCATTTCTCCCCCCTTTCCCACTCCCCCCCCACTCCTTCCCTCTCCCCCCCACCCCCTTGCTACCAGGCAGAAACTATTTTGCCCTCATCTCTAATTTTGTTGAAGAGAGAGGATAAACAATAATAGGAAGGACCAAAGGTTTTTGCCAGTTGAGATAAGGATAGCTATACAGGGAGTTGACTCGCATGCTTTCCTGTATGTATGTGTTACATTCTAAATTAATTCTTCTTGAACTAACCTTTTCTCCAGTTCCTGGTCCCCTTCTCCTATTGGCCTCTGTTGCATTAAAGTTTCTGCATTAGTTCCTTTGCACTGAGGACATCAAATGCTATCTTGCTTTTTGTCGGGTTTCTTGCCTATCCTCACACCTCCCTTGTGTGCTCTCGCTTTTATCATGTGCTCATAGTCCAATCCCCTTGTTGTGTTTGCCCTTGATCTAAAGTCCGCATATGAGGGAGAACATACGATTTTTGGACCTGGCTAACCTCGCTCACGGGGAGGAGGGGCAAACGTGGGTACACTGTACACATAGATGGAAATGTCACAACAAACATCCCTGTAAAACTATTATATGGTAATAAAAATGCTTTAAAAATTGCCATACCATAGTGTTAAAACCATATCATAGGCATCCTTTTGTCAGTTAAAATCTATGGCACTTGCTTTTCTTCTACTAAATAAAATTATATGAAAAATTAAATAAATAATAGGTCAGAAAAAAATTAAAGAGTTGAGACTTTAATTGCTTTTCAAGTATTTAGATAATCTTCACTTACTAGTTCTTCAGAAAAACACTGGTTCTTCCCATTACACCCAACAGGCACTTCTGTTTACTGACTGGTAATTTGTAAACACTTTAAAAATCAAGCTTTTCAACTTACTGTTTCACGGTCTAGAAGTTTGGTTACTTTCACTTCTCCCTTCACAGGGTCAATTGTAAATGGACTTCCCTGATTGCCTTCTATAATTGAGTAGTGGATGTGGCTGTTTGAAGGTCCATCAGCATCGTCAGCCATAACCTAGAAAATAAATACACTATTGTCTAGAAGGCAAAGAAAGGAGAGACATCTACAAAGTCTTGATAGTAATAGCTAGCTATTTTAAGATAGTTGTTTAAAGTCAGCAACTAATTGACCTAACAAAGAACTTTTTAAATTTTTGCAGTACTGGAGATTGAATCCAGGGCCCAGTGTATACTAGGTAAACATTCTACCACTGAGCTCTAAAATATTTTCAAAATAAAACCAGTATAAAAACTAGATTGATTTTACCACAAACTCTGGCAGAGATTCAGAAGAAGAAAATTGTAGGGGGGAAAAAAAAAAATCACACACCGTAATGACAGACTGCTCAAGAACTGCATCTTCACTGATCACTGTTGTATAAGTGTCTTGGCTGAACACTGGGGTGTTATCATTGATGTCTGTGACATTAATGTTCACAGTTGCCATATCACTCAATGAAGGTGTGCCTCCATCAGTGGCTTCAACTGTCAGGTAATACTCATGGGACCTTTCATAATCCAGATTCTCAATGATGAATATGGCACCTGTGCGGAGAAGCAAAATTACTTCCTGGACTTTAGAATTCCACCATTTTTTCTAATTTTCAACAGATAATACTTTTAAACAAAATTAGTTTGTACTTCAAAAGTTTACTTACCATTTATGAGTGTTTTCTGATTTCTGAATCCAACAGTTAAAAATTATGAATTAACCTTATTTCCCTGATATTCCTTATGAGATTTAAATTGTTTTTTCAACAGAAGACATAGCTCAGCCACACAAGAGATAGAACTCTCTACCTTGATTAAAACTGCTCAGCCTGACTTACTAATCAAGTTCTTACTGTATCACCTGTAGCCCCCAACTTACAATTTTGGCTCAGAGCTCTGAAATAAAGATGGGATGGTGTTTGCAAGAAAAAAAAAAAATTGTTTTTCCAGTAACTACTACCTACACCCTTCCTAATAACTATATCTCTTATTTATTTGTAATGTCATGTGTCATTACAAACTTTAGTTTACTAAAATAAATTTTTAAAAATGCAATTCTATGCTTTCTAGTTTTCTTTTCATTGTTTTTATAGACAGCACAGCCTTTAAAAAAAAATCTGTAAAATAATCTTCTACTTCACCTTATCATTAAAAATCCCTTTTTGATTTAACAAGTCCCATAATATCTTTTCATGTCAATTCACTATAGTCCATCCCCTTCTTAAAAAGAGAATGGGGCAAAAGGGCCATAAAAATAACAATTTTACGGTATGTAGTAAAAATGCATTTTAAAATAGTATCATCGTACATCTGTTGTTAATTGTAGATAGCTGAGAGGGTAACATTTCACAATGTCCTAAGACTTAATAGCTATTTTAGACCACAGGTTAACACAACTGCATCAATATTTATGCAGGAATCAACAGTGTCTCTAATTTTTTACCTGAATGGCAATCTTTCAGTGTGATTCAATACACTTTGACTGGTATATGTAAGTAGCATGATAAAGAAGACAACTTCGTGAATTATCAGATGCTCACTACGTGATCTAAGAGGTGAAAAGGATGCTTTTACTTAGGAAGCTACTTCCTATGACACTGAGGACAAAAGAAGTAATCACTCACAGTCACCTACTATCAGGCATTCTTATCTTTACTATTTTGGGACACTGTACAACATCCCTAACCCATTAGAATGTGATGTTTTAGTTTTTAAAGATAATCTGCTTATACTTTATAATGGATATGCCAGGCATCTATTTTACTAAGAATCACTTTCAATCCCATTTTAAACAACAGAAAAAAAAAAAAAGTGTTATCTTTTTAGAGCATCTCCTGATATGTGACCTGTCACTTTGCATAAGGCAAAATGCCAGACAAATCTGTCCTTTTGGTAGAAAAAAGGACATTTCCATCACAGGTTACCTGTTTTAGAATCTATGCTGAACTTTCCATGTTCATTTCCACTTATTATGGAGTAGGTGATCTCTGCATTTGCTTCAATATCCCGACTTGCTGCATAGACTTGAAGAACTTCTGTCCCAATGAGAATGTCCTCAGACACTGTGGCACCATATTCACGGTACTCAAACACAGGCGGGTTGTCATTTATATCCAAAACTGACACCACAACAGTACCAGTAGCTGTCAACCTCCTTGGCAAACCATGGTCTACAGCTTTCAAAGTCAGGGTATATACTGCCTGTAGTTCTCTATCCAAAGGCTTTTCTAATTGAATAATTCCAGATAATTCATTAATGGAGAACTGCCCATCAGCAGAATCAATCAGTGAGTAGGAAATCTTTCGATTCAATCCTGTTAGGATAGAAAATCATGTAATTAGAATTGCATATCAAGAAATTTACATTAAAAAGAAACATGCCTACATACTTTTAAAAAGGTAAAATGCTAAATGACATTATTTCAAAATTCTTATGAATATCTAGGAAAAGTAAACTCAGAATTACCAGCTTACTGAGTTAAAATAGATATAATTTTATAGATATCTGGCTGTTTAGTCTATTTTATACAGAAGCCTATGCCATAGAAACAGACCTTTCAAGACAAAATCTACTTATTCAGCCTCAGTGGCAAAGAATTATTTAAAAGCAACATTTTTGCTATGTTTACAATTCTTCAATATTAATACAACTCAAGAAGTTATTTTATTTCTACTGTCAAAATGGTATGAATACATACCTTATGGTCTTATTTTCACCACAAAAATTTCTGAAATTTACAGTTGTAAAACTGTAACAAGACAGCACTTGCTTCTGTTACATTTCAATGACACTATAACTTCTTTATGGTACTAATGATTTCTTCACAAAATAATACTCTATTAATTCAATGATATAAGATCAGTTAATGACGCCACTACCAAAACTTTAACAATACCACAGATACTTTATAGCAGTAAGTTCACTGGGTACAATTTTAAGACTTCAGATATATATTAAAAATGAATTAGTTATTCTGAAGGCTTCATTCCACCACGCGTGAGGAAAGGTGATCAGGCGTGCTGCACTGGTGATATGTTCTATACCAGAGGCTCCTGAGCCCTCCACACGCAGTGTAAAGGAGGACCATCTACTAGAGGGTACCTGCGTCTGGATCTGTGGCCTGCACTCTCGTCAACAGTGTCCCAGGTTCTGTGTTTTCAAACACAGTGATGGTGTACGGATCAACAGTGAATTCAGGGGCATTATCATTCACATCTTCTAGTGTGAGCACAATATTAGCTTCACAGAATCTTCCACCTCCATCTGTGGCCTTGACTAGAAGGTTATAAACTGCTTGTTCCTCACGGTCAAGGGAGGCCAATGTTTTCAGTTCCCCTACAAACAGGACAAATGGGCTTGCTTGAAACTTATGATGTGAACTGCAATTATGCATTTTCCTGTCTTTTTTTTTTAATAAAGTCATAAAGATCTGAGGTCAGAGTCTCTTACAATATTGCAAAAGTAAAATAGCTACCTAACTTTATTAAAGATGAATAAATTATCTTGAATCATTTTAATTATGGAAAGTGAGAAAGTATAAATTTATGGTCACAAACTCAAAAAACATTATTAGATATAATCAAATAAAATAAATAAATTAAAAAACTGTACAATTTTAACTTTAAAGCATTAGCTCAAGTGTAATACTGTTATTGGTTCTTTTTCCTCACCCCAAATTTTATACATTAAATTGCTGAGATTTCTGAAAGATGTCAATTGCAGAGCAATTTGAAAACAACAAAATGTAACTTTAAATTTCTTATGTGATCTGAAGTTAACCACATACATGATTATATTGGAAATACACAATTACATTTGCCCCAAAGTCCATAATTACCTGTGCTTGGATTTAGTGTGAATTTTTCAGAACCTGAACCAAATAATGTGTAAGTAATTTCAGCATTGGAACGGATATCTGCATCGGTAGCAGAGACCTGCATGATCAGTTTCCCAGGAAGGGTGTCTTCAGGAATGGTGTCTGAATATAAAGTCTACAAAGATTTAAATAGCATTGTTAGAATAAAGCATTAAAGTCAGCAGTGACTGCCAGGGGAATAACAGAAAGCATTTAGTTTTGGCCACAGAAAACATAGGAAATAACTGAAGTTAATATTTAAAGAGCCTTAAAAATCATTTTTCCTGTAAAATAAGGAGAAGCCATGAAATGGTTACCTACTCCATATCCGAGTCTGACTTGACACTTAAACCAAATGCTGCATGTTTCATATTTAAATTCTTCAAAGAAAATGTCAGTAGTCCTCCACATTTATCTAAAAATTAGAGAATAAGTACCTGCTACGCTGTATCTGCTTGTCCTCAAGTACAGCAGTTTAATGTGTGTAACGGTTCATAATACATAAGCAACGCAACTGGGAGCGAAGTGACCCTTGTGCTCAAAGGCACAGAGGGAACAGGTAAGACTTGGGCCTTTTACTTCCCTACCTGATCCCCTCTCTCTGCACTTCTGCCCTAATCTTCAAACACAATGAAAAGGTGTTTCCAGTTCCAGTTATTAGTTTTTAGTCTCTAAAAAGAGGGGACCCATACATAATAGCCTCTCCACCAACACCAAATCCTCTTACCAAAAAGTACAAACATGGGTTGGAATAAACCTCTCATCCCTCAGGAGTCCCACTTCCCCTGTGGATGAATTTCCAGCTGTCCACTCCTGAGAACTGCTCTGTTACTTTCCACAGCATAACGCCCATACTTAGGAGTTTGCAACACTCTCCAAACGTCCTGGTCCGCTTCAAAATCACTTCCCTCTCTACTAGTCTCCTTCCTTCCTTTATTCTAACCTTCTCCACTGGCTGAATTGATTTCTTCATTCGCGCATGTTATATTGTGTGATCTGCAATCAGGCATTCACTCACATCACGACCCTGAGACTGTCTCCATGTCAGTCTTGATCACTGTTTCTATGATATGCCTCTGCTAGCCGCCCTACCTCTTAAAAATTCTTTCCCACCCTCGAAAGCACCACACTGCTTCCTTCTTCCTTCATAAATATCCTTTTTGTTATCTTCACGGATGAATTTAATTATCAGTTCTCCACAGCTAGTGCAAAGTTTACAACCTATCTTTTCCCAATCTCACCATCTCTGAATGTCTAAAGAACACATTTAACTATACATCCCATTACCTGAAATTTAACAAATTGAACTGGAACTTAACATGCTTCCACTAAAACCAATTCCCATCCCAGGGTTGTCTTTGTCACTGTCTTGGTCTTTCTCCAAACAGTTCCTCAATGAACATTTCAGGCTTGACTTAACACTTGTGCCACGCTGCCAGGTCCAGGCAGGGGTTGAATACTTCCACATTTTCCTACGTAGCATCTTTGTTCTTTGTTCCTGCCAGTCTTCTGCCACCTCTGCCTGTTCTCTTACCTCCTTGATTTCATACTCCCTCATGCAGGTAACTGTCACAACACTACCAAATCAATCTTAAAGAACTCTCAGTTTATGACATTGCTATCTTTCAAATATAAAAGGATTCAGAGTCCCTCCCTAGTTTCTCTAGGATAGAGGTCAAATTCTCTGGGAAAAAATCTTCATATCCCTTTAAAATCTAGTTTACCTCGTTCTCCCCTGTACTTCTTTACTCTTAACTGCTTAAAGAGTCACTACAGTTCAATGCCTTTCCACTTCTCCTAATCACCAAAGCACAACTTCCAAAAGGCTGAACCCAAGCCCTGCCTCTGAACAGTGTTTTCTTATCCTCCAGCTCCAAGGCCTGCGTCCCATGGTTCCATCCTAACCCTGGAAAGAGCAGCTCCTCTTTGCCTGTATTTTGTCCTCACGTTAAATGATGAGCTTCACAGGCCCAGAGGCCACTGTTAACTGCTCTGTTTCTGTGCCGTGTGGAAGAGCAAATGTCCCCAAACGGTCTGTTAAAGCCAAACAGATGCAGGAAGATCTGCTGGCTATGTTTCTTCAAAATCACCTTATCCCTAAGTTACGACCTCTTTCATGTCAAGTTCAGAGCATTTCAGTTAAGACACACTGCAATACTGTCCACAAATCAGACCACTGTTTCTGACTTATTTAGCATTCCCTAATAGTTCTGAAGCTTTTCCAAGTCTTGCCCCATTTAACACTCACCTCTGAGTTACAATACAGCAAAAATGTAAGGCCTATGAAAATGATTAAGAAAATTTAAATTCATAGTGTACGAACTTGAGGAAAGTGCAACCTACCTTTTCACAAACTGGAGTGTTGTCATTTGCATCAAGAACTTTCACTTCAACTATGGCTTTTGATGAAAAGGTCCCATCAGTCGCTGTGATTGTCAGAAGGTAATTGTCTCTTTTTTCCCTATCTAGAGGTTTCTTTACATAGACCTTCCATTCATTCTGTATATTCTCAACTGCAAACTGTCCCAAAGAATCCCCACCTATTAAATCAATGGACGAAGATGACAGTCAAATCTGAACTAAAGTAATTGTCAGGGACAACTATACAACAGATGTATAATACTGTAGTTTAAAATGATTAAAAATTTCTTAAAAATAATTAAATTCAGTATATATTAGCTTTCCTATTTACGAAAAAGCAATACAATGTGTATTTAGACACAGTATTAAACCAAATTAAATAAATTTAGCCTATGATGAAGTTACAATTATTTCTTATTGATTGTATTTATTATACACTAAGTATACAGTTCAACAGAATGAGTCACAAAACTCAGTCTAATGAAACTGTTAGCTTTGCTCAGGTAAGGAAGTTGAAATGAAACTTAACAGTTTTCTATTTATCTTAGATATTCTTAACTAAAACCATCCCTTTCACTCCCAATTTCCATAAAAAACCTATTTAACATGCTTCTAAAATTTAAACCATTAGGTTTGAATTCTTTACCTGTTATGAAGTACGTGACTTGTCTATTAATCTCTTCAGAATCAGCATCTGTAGTACTTAAGATGGCAATGACACCACCTGGAGGATCATCTTCACTCACAGTTCCTTTGTAAATCTCTGCTGTGAACCGTGGTGGATTATCATTAACATCAGTGACAGTAACATCCACAAGGGTTGTGGAGGACAGCTGAACCTTTTCACCATGATCTGATGCAACCACTTTAATCTGATAATTGTCTTTCTTTTCATGGTCAAGTTCCTTCAGAGTTGTAATCCAGCCTGTTTCCATGTTAATGGCAAAAGATTCCATGATGTCTGTACTTTGTGACTGATCTAGACTATACATGATTTGGCCATTAGTTCCAGAATCTAGGTCAGATGCCCTGACCTGAATAACTCGACTTCCCCCTGGCAGGTTTTCCACAATAAATGCCTCATATGGACTGGACTCCAATACTGGGCTATTATCATTTGCATCTTTCACTTGGATACTAATGTCTACAGAAGCCACCACTTCATAATCATCACGAGTGCACCTGGCAAGGACAGAAAACTGATACCACTTTGTTGTCTCATGATCAAGACTCTTCTCCAATTTCAGTCTCCCATTCTGTCTGTCAATCACAAAGAAGTCATCTCTATTACTTTCAGGAGTATTCCCTTTGATTAGGCTGTAAAGAACAGTTCCACTATGTTCTGCTCGGATGAGATCTATTTCCGTTCCAATTGGCATGTCTTCTGAAACTGTGTAGGTATAAAATGGTTCTGAAAATTTTGGAAGCTGAATTTCTGGTGGAACTACTTTAACATAGACAGGAACGACTGATTCTTTTGGCGGAGACCCATTATCTACAGCTCTAACAAAGAAAGTGAAGAACTCATTTTCTAAGCCAATTAAACTTTCCTTTGTGGTAATTACACCAGACAGTTTGTTAATTTCCAAATTCTCCTTAACACTTTCAGAATCTGCTTCAATGGTGTAAGTGACATCAGCATTGGATCCCTCATCAGCATCACTTGCAAAAACTTTAATGACTGACGTCCCTTTGGCAGCATTGGATCCGATGTTCACTTCATATTTGGTTGCTCGAAACTGTGGTGCATTATCATTGTCATCTGTAAGGATGACATTAATGGTGCAGAAAGCAACTTTTCCTCCAGCATCCTTAGCCATCAAGCGAATTGCAATTACTTTCTCTGCTGGAGTCTCTCGATCAAATTTTTCTAAAGTAAATATCTGCCCTCTGTCATCTGTGTAAAACCTGTCTTTGGCAAAGTCATTTACAATATGGTAAGTAATGTGACCATAAACACCAGGGTCCCTATCAGTTGCCTTAACCTCAATCACCAGAGTATGTAAGGGAGCATTTTCAGCTAATTCTACTTCATATTCATTCTGAAGAAAAACAGGACTGTGCAAATTACCTCCAATTACAGTAACACGAACCTGAGCTGAACTTCTAAAAACTCCATCAGAAACAGAAATGTTAAGACTGTAGAACGGCTTCAAGGTGTGCCGCCTTAGGTTTGAGAGTGTGATAATCCCTGTTTCATGGTCAATGACAAAATTTTTATGATCATTGCCAGATAGAATAGAGTATTCCAACTTGTCTGTGTCTGAACTGTCTGCATCATAGGCTTTTACACACATCACAAAATGCCCATGCATGGCATGCTCACTAATTTTGGCTTCATAAATCTGTTGATCAAAGAGTGGTGGATTATCATTGAGGTCAGTGACATCCACAGTGACAGTCACATCGCTGCTCAGTGGGGGCATGCCACCATCAACAGCCCTTACAAAAATCTTGTGCTGCTGGAACTGTTCATGATCCAAAGTTCTGACTAGTGAAATGAGACCAGTGCTGCTATCTATGTGAAAATGGTCATGACTCTTGCTATGATTTCCAAACATCTGGTATGAAATTCCTCTGTTTGGTTCTGAATCAGAATCCGTTGCTCTAACTTGAACAACAGATGTTCCAATTACAGATGCCTCAGACAGGGTTGCAGCATAAGACTGCTGCACAAACATAGGAGGGTTATCGTTGATGTCTTCTACTATTATGTCAACAAAGACTTCAGCATGAGCACCAGTCAAGGAGTCAGTTGCTCGTATGCTCAGTTTATATGCTGGGTGGGACTCAAAATCCAGAGGAGCTATGACGTTTATAACTCCAGTATTGAAGTTGATGGTAAACTGGCCGAAAGGATCTCCATCTGTGATGCTATAGAACACCTTCAACCCTTCTGGACTACTGGCTTGTATGTGGACAACTGGGCTATGCACCTGGATATTCTCTGGAATCTCTGCACTGTAAAAAGGTTTTTCAAACACCGGCATGGCTTTATTCACAACAGTGATTGGAACTATAACTTCAGCTGAGAAAGCTGGGTTTCCTCCATCTTTTGCAACCACTGTGACAAGATATTCTTTATTTAAGGTATCAAGTTCAAATTGCTTTTTCAGTGAAATTTCACCAGTTGGTCCAATTTGAAAGTGGTCATGATGTTCCTTAAGGTGGTAGTGTACTTCGCCATTTCTGCCACTGTCTCTGTCGACAGCAGTAACGGAGCGAATGACATGACCCACCTCGGTATCCACCTTAACAACAGCATAGTAAGGAAGATTAACAAACACTGGTGCATTGTCATTTTGGTCTTCGACAGTGACTTTCACAACAACATGGGCCACTGCTGAAGGTTTATGTTCTTGTGTCACTTCAACAACCACATCAAACGCTTCCTGATGCTCACGATCAAACAGGATACCAGTGGTTGACAGCACTCCTGAAGTGTGGCTGATTTTAAATCTGGGATCTGGGTTGAGGATGTGATAAAACAAAGGCTCATTGATTGGATTCCCAATAGCAGTAATGACAGCTAGTGTCTTGGCTTCTGTGGAGTTCTCTTTCACTACTGCAGAGTAGAAATCCTGGGTAAACTTAAGTTGACTTTCTTTGCTTTCTTTCACGTTAATTTTCACAGAGGTAAAGCTGGCAAATCTGCCATCAGAAGCTCGAATGGTTAACTCATAGCGGCTTCTTAACTGAGTTGTGTTTTGAACGGTTATACTGCCAGTCTTGTAGTCCATAAAAAACTTCTCCCCAATGTTACCTTCAGTGATGGAGTATATTAACTGTGAGAATGCACTGGAATCAGCATCTGTAGCCTTTACTGTGATTACTTTTACGCCTTTGTAGGTTGGCAACAAAAGAGATGTTTCATATAATGATCTGGAGAACACAGGAGGGCAATCATTGATGTCAATTACATGTATAGTCACATTAGCTGCATACTCAGCAAATAAACGTGGTGTTCCCATGTCATGCACTTGTACAGTAAAGTGAAAAACACTTGTCTCTTCATAGTCCAAACTTAGTACTGTATGAATGGCACCAGTGCTAGAATCAATAGCAAAATATTTGTGTACAGATGGCTCAACAATGTGATAAACAAGCAAAGCATTTGATTCTTTATCAGCATCAGCTGCTCGAATCACTAGTGGAACATTCTTGTCTGTTAGGATCACGCTATTGATTGAAGCTGATTCGCTAATGAGTCCTGAATATTCTGCCTGCATAAAAACTGGTAAGTTGTCATTCTCATCCTGTAAATGCACCAGAACAGTTGTATTGGTAGACAAACCAGCCATGTTGGTTCCTTGTATAGTCAATGTATAAATGGGCAAAGTTTCAAAATCCAGGGCTTTCTGAGTGACGATACTTCCAGAATGTGGATTAATATCAAAAGCATCACCTGTATTTCCATCTTTTATTTCATATACCACTGATGACTGACTATGGGCTGTAACCATTCCAACAAAACTTCCAATGCTGACAGCTTCACTAATTTCAATAGAGTATTCTTTTGATGTAAACTTAGGGGAGGCATTGTCAGCCACTGTAACAATAATATGTACAGAAGTCATTTCACTCATTGGTGGATTGCCTTTATCCGTAGCTTTTACCATCAAATCATATTGTATTTGGTTACTTCGATCTAATTCTTTGGCAGTTTTTACACAGCCCAAGATAGGATCAATTGTAAAAGAATTTCCGATATTTCCTGGAAGGGGAGGAAAAAAATACATGTTAGAGAAAAGCGAAAAGAGCAACAGGAATAGTTGCTGAAGAAACAGATATTCTTAAAAGTTTTAATTTTAAATCAAGCAGAATTGCAAGCAATAGCAACATGTGAATAGAACCTTCAACCTGTCTCATTTTTACCCACCTGAAATGAGGCTTCTCAAAAATCTGACCATAAATTATGAAAAGCAAAAGAAATATTACTGTATACCTAGACCCAAAATTCACTCTCTATTGACTGAACTGGAAATATGTTGTAAACAGAAATGGTTTTCCTTCCATTAAGCACCTGAGTTAATAATTTTCCAACAGTCCCTTCAGCATTTATCATTTGCAAATTCTTAAGATTATTATTATGCAAGGGAAGATTTCAATTCACCAAGAAATTGAAATATTTCAACAATATTCCTTTTTAACCTGTTTCAAACTAATTTCTCTTCCAGTGTTCTCAGCTAGGAGAGATTTTGCTTCCCAGGAGACTCCTGACAATGTCTGGTTGTCAGAACATCAGTCATGGGGAGTGCTTCTTGCATTTAGTGGGCAGAGGCCAGGGATACCGCTAAGTATCTTTTAATGCACAGGACTGCCCTCCACAACAGGAAGTCACTAGGCTCAAAATGTTAATAGTACTGGAGCTGAGAACAAGTTTCTAGGACGGATAGTTTCATTTGCTTTTCTTTGGGCCTTTTCAGGCTATGCTAATGTTTAACTGCAACCTCAACCCCATAGTATCCTACAGTTTTGTATCTTCTGAAGAAACTAGCAGTTCTCTGCAGCCTTTTTGATGGATCAAGGCAGTGTGAGGGTACTTATGGTAGGTCCATCCACTGTACTGAATTTATTCTCCCCAAATCCCATAACAAAGTTCACTTGGCACTTAGCTGCTTCCTCAAGTTCTTTTAGGTTTGCAATTGATACAGCATTTCACAGACCAGAACTACTTATGTGTGATCTGCAGGGAATTAATCCAGCACTTCTTTCTCCAGATCATTAACAGTAAACACTTCCTCTTATAATCTTTGTTTCCTTCTTTTAATACGTTTTTCAAAAATGCACGATAATTTTTCTGAGGCCAGACCCAGTCTGGTTTTCATTAGTCTTCTGGGCTGTATGTCCAAGCCCGAAGGCAGTGCCTCGATCTGCCATAGGATGGAGGCTCAGAATTCTCCAGGCCTGAAGCTCTGGCCCAGTAATGGGTTCCTATTGCCTCTGCCTAATTTCCTGTCTGTTGGTATTTAGGAGAAGCAATGATGTCTGGTTCTCTCTCACTGTGTTTTAAGCACTCATCAGGCATCCTTTTCTCATTCTACCTAAACAACATCCCTATCTTCCAAAACTCTGACAGATTGCCTGGCCTGACACGGGAGACCATAGTAACCTTAGGCAGTTATCTATTCTTACCCTTCAGGCTTTATACTTAGATAGCTGCTTGTATCTGTACTTAAAGGCAACTGACCTGACAAAATTTATATTCAGTCATCTAAGTGTGTTTCTGCCTTATTTTCTAGAGTAAAATCTTATTTTCTCAGGAAGGCTTCATACACACAATCCTCAGAAGGACAGAGAACTGGTGTTCTCAGTACTGAAGCAGCCTGTGTCAGAATGCACTACTCTCTGTACAACTTGTTCCCAGCCTCTAGCCACACTAGGATCCTCTCTGGTCTTCTAACACCTAACTCTTATCTCATATCAGGGCCTCAGCATTTGCTATGCCCTCTGCTCGAACCTATTCTCCCCCACCTATTCTCAGTCTTCTCCCCTCATTAATTCAGGTAAGACATGAATGCCCCTGCTTAAGAGTGTAATGATGGAGCATGTAATGACTGACCTCCCTATTCAGCCCTAGCCTGCTTTTTCTTTACAGCATGTAGGACAATCTTGCTGTTTATCAGTCCCATGAAATTCAAGAATGTCTTTATCATCTGGCATATCCTGGCTCTGATAACAAAGGCTCTGAGCTAGTCAATGATATCAAGCAGGTTAGACAGCTAGTGATGTAATACATGGGTCCCACACACACATATACCAAGGAAGAAAGCATCAGACTTACAAAGGAGAAAGCAATGCCAAAGTTTGGGGAAAAACAATGATGGCTGCTCACTGGCATGAAAAGTGATCCCAGCTAGTAAATACATTCACCAAACACTGAAATATGTGTAGGGTATTTGTGAACAAATTAATAAAGCAGTGAGTGGTAGAAGTTTGTACCAGGTTGGGAATTTATTCATTTACTTTAGCTGAAATGGAACCTTAAATTATTCTCTGTATTTAAACAGGGAAACTAACTGGACAAACAAGTCAGTATCTGCTCTTAAGCTACAACTATGTCCCCACAGGTCAAGTAAAAGAGAGATTGGGGGGTTGGTTTCTTTCCATGGTTGACACACTGTCCATGTTCAGTAAGGGCTTGACAGTGTGGTAACCTAACAAGTTTTAATCACATTATATTTAATCTGAATTTGGGAAAGAAAGCCAATTCTAATCAACAAATATATTTACCAAGTGTCTTCTGTTTCCAGGCATTATAACAGTGAAATAGTGCTCTAATAATCTACTTTTTAAAATGACATAAAGAGAAGAAAACACCATACAGCCCAGTGTATAGCACTGATGTGTCTCTTGTGCATAAGTCAATTGTTACTGAAAATATCTTTTAATTAAATTCCTTTTCCCTAAAGACTTCTATTCGGACTAAACCTTTTGCTCAATAAATTGCTGCTAATTAAACATGCGGCGTTATGGATGGAATTTATAACCAGTCTTTTGAACTTTTTAAAATGTAATCTGACACAAATTAGAAGCAGCTGATTATGAATAAACTGTTAAATGAAAGGCAGTATGAACATTTACAGTTCATATTATTCCAGCAGTTGTGCATCCACACATTCAGTTCTACTACATTTTAATGGTAGTGGTTTCCTATAAAGTAACTGTTTAGCTTAATTTTACATTACCAAAACTATAAAAGCATCTTCAAAGTCCCAATTCCACACTGGAATGGTCCAATGCTGCTATCTACTCTGTGAGGATAGGTAGAGTTCCATTCTTAGAACACCAAGTTACTAATCCCATCAGTCATTGCAAGTATTCAAAGAATGCACATGCCTTCACTCCAACACCAACAATCATATTTTAACCACCCAGTTGTTGAAAATTATGTGAAAGCTAAGGGAAAGTTTAACATTTTCTCCTACATAAATCCAGTCAGTTTGTGATGACAAAATTACTTTACTGAAATGCTCAGACATGCACAAATGGAATGCACTGTGTTTTAACTGCTGAGTTTTTGAAGCAGTGGAAAAACACTTTATCTGTATTCATGGCAGTGACTACACTACAATACATTTTAACAACTCCATCACAGGCAGCATATAAAATTGTATTTGTGAATAATTAACTCCATTTGGACATTTTAATGGAAACAAATGAAATTTCAAGTATGTAAAGAAATAAAAATAGTTTAACCACATTAAGCATACCAATAGGTATTTTTGCTAAAATTACCCTCTATTTACTCAGATCTTGATTATATGATCTGCAGATAATCTACACTTCTATGGATTCTAATTCCTTTAAGAACACTTCTAAATATGTAGAGCTCTGGCCTTAAAGAAAAAAGTCCAGTAAAATGGAAGATCACTCACTTTTCTAAAATCATTGCAAAGACAGAAGAATGAAAGAGACTGTTTCACTTACTAACAATGGCACTGAGGAAGGTGGAAAACTAAAAGCCTTTTCGGGGTAAGCAGAGGAGGACACTCATTTTCTGAGGACTGGTCCATGAAGAACTGAACAAGTTAGCACTCTGTCATGGAATTTCCTGCTCTACCCAACAGAAAATACTCTTGAGTAAAAATAAAATCTTAAATTACTAAGCCAGCATTTTCTTGTGTGTGTTTCACAGTTAAGCAATATTTTGAGGAAAATGATAATGTGATTAGAGTAACTGGTCAAATAAACTTTTTCCCCCACAGGATTTATCAGTCTTGAGTTATGTCAATATTGTGCAGCACTAAGAACGGATAGCCAAACTTAGTGGATTCTATCTTTGCTCTCCAGTGGATTAAAATTAAAAAAAAAAAGAAATCCTCTTTTTTTTCCTAACATGTAAAATGGTAGCTAAAGATCAATTTAAGAAACTTTTGCAGTGATTACACAGAAACCCTTCAACACCTACAGCTAATTTTAGAAAAGAATACTTTATGAAATGCTAACTCTACTGAATGTTCCAAAAAATACCTGACTCAATGGAATACAGCACTTCAGCATTTTGCCCTTTGTCTTTGTCCAGAGCTGTAACCTGCAACACAACCGAGCCGACAGCAGCTGATTCGTACACCCGCCCTTCATAGGAGGAACTGGTGAACCATGGTGCATGGTCATTCGTGTCACTGACATTAATGACAATTCTTGCAAAGTTGCGTTTTACAGGTACATCCTGATCCCGGACCTAGAACAATCAACACGTTACAAATCCTGTTGGGGTTGTTTCTTTCTTGTGGATTAAAAACACTATTTACTCTCAAAGACATGAGAGCCTTCAGGAATCACATGGAGGCAGAAGCACAAGCAACGGCATACGCACCATAACTGTAAGCACATGCTGGTGTGCAGTTTCATGATCAAGTTTTTCAGAAGTACAGAGAGAGCCAGTTGCAGGATCAAGACGGAATTTCTTGAGACTCAATGGGTCTATACTGCTCTGCAGAGTGTAGATGAGCTTGTTTTTCTCATCCTTATCCATAGCGGTGATTTGCAAAATTTCTGTTTCTGGAACCGTATCTTCTGGAATAACAACTTCATATTTTGATGAAGAAAACTGAGGACGATGATCATTTGTATCTATCACTTTGATGAATACCTGTGTGAATGACAAAATGACTCATCTAGTAACATTCCTAATTACACTGTTTTAATATTAAAAGAATCAAGAAAAAAATCTCATGTATGTGGAAAAAAGTGATAAAATTAAATACAAATATGAGAAACAGAAGCAACAAAAACTTCAAAGACTTCTCAGTGGTATATAATTCATCTAAAATGTGAATAAGATACTGAAGACCTTTCTAAACTCTTAAACTAAACTCTGGAGGCATACAACTGTTCACACTTAACATTTCGTTTTGGGAGGCAGAAAGGTCTCCACATAAGACCTTAGTAGATCAAGGGAAGAAAACAGAAATTAAATTTGCTAAGATTACAGACAACTCATTTCCTACACTAGATTTGAATCTGTAATTAATAATTATCGAGGCAAGTGCTATGTAACCTTTCTTCTAATCTCCAAGACTCCAAATTCCTGTTAAGTTTTTAAATATATCAATATGCACTTACATGTACAATACATGTACACATATGTACTCTATGGATAGTTCTCACTACCCCATTCTCCAGATGAAACCATGGAAGCAGACTGGTTACAGCTTGCCCTGGACAAGACCAAGAGGTGCAGATGAGATTCACACCAAGTTCCCTCCACCAAAGTATGCAATGTTAATGCTCCAGAGAAAGTGAAAGAAAACATGAAAGCAAAGATGTTTCCAAGCAAGAAAAGAAAATGTTATTTGGATATGGTAAGTTACCTGGTTGTACAAGGAAGATAAAGCAAAGTGGCTCAAATTAATGCTGGTTAGCGTCCTAAGCAGACAAGGGTGGGATGGAAAGCCATGAAAGAGGGGCTGTATCGGCATAGCACTGGCATTCACATGGCCGCATCCCACTCCTACTGTTAAGGATGCACGCTGTGTGACTGACAACATCTAAACATTCTCAAATCTGGCATCTGCAGCCACTGACCTGGATGCACAAAACCTGCTGTGTTGGTCCCTGAGTGTCACCTACAAACCTAAATCTACCTTGCTGTACTTGGTGCCTTATCAACACAGTTTGGATTTCTGTGTTCCTCTTCGTGGGCTGTCTGTAGCTCTGCTCTCTCCTAGATGTGTATCTCTCCTTTCTCAGTCCAGACTAGAAACCGAAACTTAATTACTGATAGTTCCCTTTATTCTACACCATTACAGGTCAACCCAAGCTCTGTAACCATTCTCTTACCTTCTCACTACTTTTCCCTGCTAGTAATTCATTAGGGTATTACCAAGAACTTGTGAAAATGACTCAAAACAAATTACAAAAGTACAAAGGAAGCACTGAAATTTAAGAGAAAAGGAAACTAGAATATATTTTGTAGAAATGAGCCAATGGACACTATATTTCATACTAAGCTTTTAACTGTACATTGTTAATTATTCACTGATCAGCAGGGGCTGTAAGTGGGTATATGCTTGTTAGTAACTAGAATGTGTGACACTGAGAGTCATTTCCACTGTTGACTAAGTCTGTGTCATGAGATCTCTGCTTAGTCAATCATGTGAACTTGACCATGCACCTTTCTCTCAGAATTACCTTGCCACATAAAAATTTCTGATGTTTTTATTCTCACTGTAATGTTCTGAAGTTCAACCTATAGGGCTTACTTTTAAAGAAAAAGGAAATCAATTGATTCTGCTTGTCACTACAATGAAAGTAGTCATCAATGACGTGGAATTTCAATACTGCACTATACCCTTTACAAAACACCTCAAAAGGAACCCAAGAAAAGCCACTGTACTGAACACATTATCAATTTTACATACATTAAAATCACAAGGTTTTGCAGAAAGGAGTAAGATATTTTCACAATATTTAAATTATTTATTCATTTACTAACTGAAAATACACCTCATACTCTATCTCTATACTTTAATGCAACTAAGTGATTTAGCAGGTGATTTGTCTCATTCAAGGTTTGAAAGAGTATAATCTAAAGATAGAAAACTAGTATTCAGAAGCATTTTATTTTCTAACTGTTAAAACTTCTTCTTTTAAGGACACATAAATCATACAGAAGCCTTTAGCTTCTCCCATCCTAATGTGAAGTCCAAGGCAGGATCTTTGCCTATTGTTACCCACTATTTGGCATCTAAAATCATACCTGGCACACAAGAGGCGCTCAACAAGTATTTGTTAAATGAAAAATAGACTTTCTGCCTTCTCCTGAAACCACACAATGATTATTCATCTAAGAATGTTCATCTCCAACAATCAAGAAGAATTAATAAGAAAATTTATAGGGTTTTATCAACGTTGAAAGCCCACAATCTGGCCATCTTAATCACCAGATAAGAATAAAGGTATTAAAGGAATTGTTAGAACAATTCTATGAGTCATTTTTACACAGCCCCAGTTAAGTTAGTCAAGGGGGAAAAATCCAAAACAGTGACTTAAATGATTAATTAAACACTTCAATCATCTCTCATGAAAACGACTAGTATAATTCATCCTTAACAATGATATGCTCTCCATTATGAGTATAGAATAAGAGGATTCAGATGGCAAAATAATAGCAATATGGTTTGATTTTAAGTCTTCTGTTAAAATTTCTGTAACTGCTTAATCACATGAAAGCCAAACTGGAATTTAATTTCCCTTCTCTACGTAAAAATTTTTATCTGTATGTGTGTAAACTACAACATGTTTTAGAACCCCAAGGGTAAAGTCAACTGCTCATGTTGTCTGTGGACCTGAAATCACAATGTTTTTCTCCATCTTCCTCTGACACACACCATCCACAGCTCACTTACCTGAGTAAGGATTATGGTGGTTCCATCTGTAGCCTCAACTGTGAGGTTGTAGTTTGATTTCTGTTCTGCATCCAGGGGTTTGGCAATGATGATGGTTCCGGTGCCCTTGTCCACATCAAAGTGACTGTCATAGTTTCCACCTAGTTTAAATTAGGACAAACAGAAAAGCTAAAGCAGGTCACAGGGTGAAAATCTGTCATTTATTTTATAGCTTTCTATCATTTCATTTATTTTATTCACTTTCTAATGAAAGTGAAAATATACTTCTAGTAGAATGATCAAAGTAACTCCAAGAAGCCATCATTTTAAAAAGCAAGAAGAGTAGCCAATCAGGAAGACAATGTTTTTTTGGGGGCAATACTGAACACTAATTATCAAGGAAGCCAGGAATTGAGAGCAAGCAAGAAAGCAACTCTGAAAACAGAAAAGCACCGTTAATGTTGCCAATAAATTACTTTCAATTTGCTTGTTTGGACATTCTGAATACTTAATATATGTCAGTATGAAAATACCACTGGCCATATAAAAGTATAACTATTTTTAAAAATTTTTGAGAAACTTTGAGCCTATGAAAATAAATGCTAACTCTGGAAAAAAAGTTGTAGTTAACTCTAATCACTCTTAGCTATTGTCCACTACTTGAAAACACTCTCACCATCACTGTTAAACAGAGGAATTAATGAAGGAAAAACTTCTACTGATACTATCTAAATGTGTCCCCAGGATATTTTAAATAAAATTCTTCAAATTCACTTGAGATAGTTATAACAATGAAATGAAATGGAATGAAAACAAAGACTGAATGTCATAATGAAGCTCCACTATTAAATCTAACCAAAAAGCAAAACAGACACACATGGAAGGACTTCAGTCAAACTTAAAATTATGGATGTAGGGATGATTAAGAGTTCTAGATT